CTTCCGCTTCTTAAAGCGGAAGATGGGCTGGACGTGTCGGCTCCCCATCAAACGGAGGACGGAGGTGCCCCATCTAGGGATGTTACATGCATCTAGAAGACCGGCCACCACGGACATGAGGTTCAACGCCGAGCTGTTTGAGATGGACGAGACACCCGTCCCCCCCGTCGGCAAGCAGACGAAGAGGAAGCTCCCAGTGGCGACGGGGGGGGGGGGCATACGGCCTCCGGTCCCAGAAAAAGACTAGTGTGTAAAATGTAAGTAACAAAAAAAAAAAAACGTATTTGTGAAATAATTTCTTTTTAAAATTTAAAATGTTTCAATCAATATCACATGTTTACTTAAAATTTAAAGATCACATTTCCTATAAAAATTAAAAATATGGGTTTGAAATACAATTAAATATGGTTTTTTTTTTGCTGTTTTTTTAACAGGGAGACGTGAGGGTGTATTGTGAGCAAGGGACCGTGCTGAATTTTTGTTTGTTTGTTTTTTTTTTTAATACATATAGATTAATAAAGATTATTTCTCGAAATACATCGACTTCTTCTTTTTCGGAAGGCATAAACTTTTCTCAGTAGTCCTTTTTTCCACAAATCGTCTTAAGACTAAGAATTTACAGTCATTCTATAAATTTGGCAGTCGTTACTATTTGTCTAATCTCGTGCGTAAATGTTATTCTTAGTCGTAAGAGTTTTGGGGGGAAATGAACTACGAGAAATAATTAAAGTACATTATATAACTGAAATCCTTCAGTGCATTTAACGAGGATAGTGGGCTTTAAACGAGACAAAAAAAAATACAGATGGGAAAAAAGGATTTAAAAGTACAGGAATATCACAAGGAAAAAAAAAGAATCTTTGTGTAAGCGGCTTTGAAATGAAATATGATTTACAAACCTTTTTTTTTTTGAGCACACAAGTACCCGAAATACTTTGTAAACTCAGACGTACAAAGTGAAGATTGGAGGGGAAAAGATATATTGAAAGAAGGTGATTTAATCAACAACAAAAAAAAAAAATTGAAAAAATCATTGACAGAAAATATAGGTCATATTTATTCCAAGACTCGAATAATGATGTGAATTGGAAAATAAAATATAATCAGTGTAAGAATGACTGAGTAAGATTAAAAAAAGACATGGCTAGATGCAATAAAAAAAAAAGGTGATCAACGTTATGAAGATTTTAAGCAAACCTTTTTTTTTTTTTTTTTTTTTTTTTTTTTTTTGAGCACACATTTCATATAATGCATGTAGTAAAATGCGGAAAACCCAGTCTTGACAAAAAAGTTTTCCTACTGAAAGAATGTTTTTTTCACGTTGACATGGAAACAGCCAATGAAGGTGTACCTGAATGTTGAAAAAGGACAAACAGACGTATCTAATATATAGTATGTGGTGAATCCTCCAAAGGATACGGACGTGATTTGTTGGAAATTCCCCGAAAATCAAAATGTTTCAGTGTGGATTTTGTCATTTAATGTTTAACGACTATGTCAGCATGTCAGAACATGAAAAAAACCACGAACAAAAATCAAACAGTGGAAATCATGGAAATACACACTCAATAAGGTAATGATATTTTTATTTGAAAGGGGGGGGGGGGTAAATCGATTTACACTGAATTGTAAGGTTTTTTTTTTTTTAACTCTACAGTATAAATAAAATCCGAATCTGAATAAGCTATGATGCACTGGTAATTTATGAGTCTCGTATGATTAAAAAAAGAAAAAAAAAAAAGAAAAAAAATTCAAAGAAATCCCATTAAGAAAACAAACAAACAAAAAATACCTGAGTATAGAAATATACGAATGCGTATTAGGGTAAGAGAGGTAACTTAAACGAAGTCACAGTGTTACTTTTAACGTTCACGAGTTATAGTTAATAAGACCAGAATGATGATGTTTAGTCTAGATCAATCTTATCGATAACAAATACTGGATATTGTTAAAAGTAACAAATACGTGTTTTTGTCATATAAAACGGATTTCACAAACATAAACCTTATAATTTTATGTGATGTATTTTTTTTTTTTTTTTTTTTTTTTTTTTTTGGTAAATAAATTTTGGATCCGTCTTGTGTAAAAATTTGGCACAGGGTGAATCGCATATATATTACGCTTACAGTGGAAGGGGGACAACCTTACTGAAGTCACTTAACATCATCATTACCAAATTTCATAATTAATTTCGTCTTCATCAGAGATCGAAGGAGCAAATGTTTAGTTTTTAAAAAAAAAAAACGGTGTTTATCTTCTGTGTTGACAAACGCACGAAGTACGGTTCCCAGTTTGGTGTTAAATTCATTATTATTATACAATGATAGTAGTATGGTGTGCCATTTCGTTTTAAAATTCGTTTGTTTATAAAAGTCGATAGCACAGTACATCGCTTTTGTGTAAAAAAACAAATAGTGTATACAACGTCGATAATATGGTGTGTCGTTTCAAATAAAATTTAATAAGACAAAAGTTGACACTATGGTCGGCCGTTTTGGTTAAAATGTAAAAAGTTACATGGTATGACGTGTCGTTCTTGATTTAAATACAATTTGATTTGTAATTTAAAAAAAGGTGTTTATCTTCTGTGTTGACAAACGCACGAAGTACGGTTCCCAGTTTGGTGTAAAATTCATTACTATTATACAATGATAGTAGTATGGTGTGCCATTTCGTTTAAAAATTCGTTTGTTTATAAAAGTCGATAGCACAGTACATCGCTTTTGTGTAAAAAACAAATAGTGTATACAACGTCGATAATATGGTGTGTCGTTTCAAATAAAATTTAATAAGACAAAAGTTGACACTATGGTGGGCCGTTTTGGTTAAAATGTTAAAAGTTACATGGTATGACATGTCGTTCTTGATTTAAATACATTTTGATTCGTAATTTAAAAAAAAAATCATGCTAAGTACGTGTTTTGCTATGTAAAGTCTGGTGAAAATTCAGTAATTTAATTCAAAATCGATAGTATGGTGTGGTATTAGTTCTTAAATTCATGTTTTAACTAACATTTGCAGTATATAGTGTATTACTTTATCCACAATGCAATAATTCTTACAAATGGATTTTTATTTATAATTTTGAAAAAAAATATATGTTAAAAAATAATTTGGTGTGTAAAAGTATGACAAAAAATCCAGTAATTTAATTCAAATTCGATTGTATGGTGTTGTGTTAGTTCTTGCATTTATTTAAAAAAAAAATTAATAAATAAAAAAAACAAAAAAAAACATTTGTTGTAAAGTGCATTACGTTATCCACAATGCCTTAGTTGTAAAAACAGATGTCGATGAATAGAGTTTTAGTTTATTTCAATAAAAAAAAAAGCCAACTTGATTGACGACTTTTGATTTCAAATAAAAAATGTTGTAGTCCAGTGGTTCGGGAACATGAGTTGTTTCGAGATATCCAGGACAAGGATTGGTCCAGCGTCCAACAAACCTCCTCAGACGAACCAATGGATATCGACCAACTGTTCAACTCACCTGATGAGGACTTTGGAAACATCCTCGATTGTACATTTCACACAGAAAATTCTCTGCTGGTGGACGGGGACCCGGGGTTTGTTCCTATCGATTTCTCAGAGATTACCGATGTCACTTTCCACGAAGGAGATTCTCTGCTACTGCAAGATGAACCCTTCGACTTTTTTGCAAATCAAGTAGGTACCGGTCGTGACGATTTCGACATCAGAATCGTCAAGGAAAAGAAACTGAAAAAAAGCCGGAGCTATGGACGTCAATTACGAATTGACATTTAAGGATCGCCTCTTCCAGGAAAAAAAGAAGATGATCGAAGTCAAAGGTTTGCTCAAAGATGCCTTCGAGAAAATGCTTCAACACGTGAAAAAAGATCTCCGGCCGGGGGACCTCATGAGGGGTGTCATTTACAACGACCATTTAGACCTACCGGTGTTTGTCCCATGTCGCCCTATGGAGGAGATGGACGCGGACGCCATGTTGGAAAGTCTGATGATCGTCCTTAACAGTCATCAAGACTTACCTTTCGATTCCTCCTGTCGAATCGACATCGGGGCCATCAAATATCCCCGCGGTGGTACGGGAGTTAAGATGTCTTCCGTCGCCAAAGCCATCGCAGATAAGAAATCTATCATAAAGATACGTAATACTGATAACAAGTGTCTCGTTCGCGCGGCTCTCGTCTGTTTAGCCAACAGCTGTAAAACCCAGGACGTCGAGTTTGGAAAAGTCAAGGCTCGTCATCCGACTCTCACGACCGGTGAAATTCTCCTTTTCTATCAACAGTGTCCGCTCTGGTATTACCAAGATTTGTGTAAAAACCATAACGGAGCACAAGATACGCTGACGAAACGAGTGTGTACGACGATGAACATCGTCGACGACGCTCCGCTGACTTACATGTACATCCCTCGTTTAGAAGAATTTCTCGGTGTGAACATCTACGTCATCAGTGTTAAGATGGGAAACGCCTTCTCTTACATCAGTCCCAACCACGACGAGGAACGAAAGAAGATATTCTTACTTCACGACGACTCGGAGGAGGCCGAACACTTCCATCCCATCACGTCGCTGGCAGGTTTCTTTTGCCGATCACGATTCTGCAGTTCGTGCTTAAAACCGTACGAGAAACCGTATGGACATCAATGTCGAAATCATTGCAACGTCTGTTTTTCTGACAATTGTCCCGTGCAACAGAAGAGAACTTGTCCAGATTGCCATCAGACCTGTCGCTCTGGGTCCTGTTTTGTTCGACATAAGAATCCGCTCGAAGGGGGAGTCATACCTTGTGAGCTCCGATACAAATGCCCGACCTGCAATAAGACCTTCTTACGTCATGAGTTAAAACCCGAAGATCATCAATGTGGGTATTACACGTGCAAGTCTTGCAGGCAATACGTAGATCCCGAACATCTGTGCTACGCTAGGAGTCACAACGCCAAAGAAAATCAGACCAGTCGTTGATTCATTTTTGCCGACATCGAGGCATCGCAAAAGGACGAGATCGTCCAGTGTGAATGGGGGTACGCACCTCTACGCCGCGTAGACTGTACCGAATGTCGAACAGAACGAGACCTGTGTACCTCTTGTCGGGTCTGTCAGCACTGTCATAAATCGCACTGCGGTAAATTTAAACACACCGTGTGTCAGACCGCCTGTGAGAAATGCGAGAACGACGATCTCACACCCGACAGCACGTGCGACTCTTGCGGAGATCGATGTTCGACCTGTGGAAAGAAGGACAAGAAGACCAAACAGTACGTCTCACCCCCCTGTCCCGGTCGATGTGGACGTCGCGAACGCGTCTTCCAGACTTTGTACGATCTCGGAAGTTGGATCTTTCGCGAACATCACAAAGGATTTACGGTCCTGTTCCATAATCTCTCGTACGACGGTCAGTTCCTCTTACAGTACCTGCTGTCACAGTCCATCCGCCCCTCCTTCATCATCTACAGGGGAAGTAAAATTCAAATGTTTAACCTCAGCGGCCTTCAGATCCGAGTCATCGATTCGTTTAATTTCCTACCCGTGGCCATAGCCAAACTTCCCAAAGCCTTTCAGCTAGAATCTTTGGCCAAGGGATACTTCCCTCATTTTTTTACATGTCAGGCCAACCGGAATTACGTAGGACCTTACCCGCCTGCCGAGACTTACGGTCCTAATGCCATGTCCGTCGAGGGTAGGAAAGAGTTCTTCAAATGGTACGAGACTAAAGTCGCCAGTGGAGAAATCTTCGATTTTCAAAAAGAAATCCTCAAGTACTGTCGGAGCGACGTCGACATCCTCCGACGTGCATGTCTCAAGTTCAAGAACCTCCTGCTGGAAGCCACCGGCAGAGACGGAGGTCATACCGTTGACGCGTTTAATTCCAGTACCATTGCGTCTCTCTGCATGGACGTATTTAAGACGAAGTTTTTACCCGAAGACTGGAAATACCTGGTCAAAGAAGACGATCAAGAACGATGGCTTGATGTCAAAATGCTTGATGGAGAAGTGACTGTGAATCACGAGGGCCGGTGGATTCCGTGGGACGATCTTAAGCAACGTAACGTCGAGATCACGAAAGAAGAGTTCGTCAAGTCTCCGATTGCATGGCCCCCACCGAAGGGATATCCGTCCCGCATTAATTATAGTCGTAAGTCCATCTGTTGGTTGGAGTTACTGAGACATCGAGCTCAAGCCTCGGGAGGCGTGTTAGACATTCAACATGCCCTGACGGGGCGTGGGGAATACCGAGTATCCGGTACCCGCTCTTCCGTCGACGGATACGTTCCGCCCAATGCAGAACACCCTCGTGGCGTGGCTTATGAGTTCCACGGTTGTCTATACCACGGCTGTCCCGTCTGTTACAAGGACCGAGACGCCGTGCTGATCCCGAACTCCGAGCAAACAGCTTTCGAATTGCTTACTCTGACAGAGCACAAGGAGCGTCGTCTCCGAGAAGAGGGGCTCAAAGTCGTTACCATCTGGGAACACGAGTTTGACGCCCTGTTAGTCACGGATGACGATGCCAAGTCGTTCGTCGATAGTTTGGAAGTGGTGGATCGTCTCGATCCTCGGGACAGTCTGATGGGTGGACGTACCAACGGATGTGTGCTCTACAAGCGAGCGACAAGGGACACAAAAATCAAATACGTCGACTTTACATCCCTGTATCCCTATGTCAACAAGACGTGTCGTTATCCCGTCGGACACTCAGACATCGTCACTCGCGATTTCGCCGACCTGACGACGTATTTCGGATTGGCCAAAGTCAAAGTCGTTCCACCACGTGGTCTCTTTCATCCGGTCTTAGGTTATCGTACAGGGGGTAAATTAACCTTTCCCCTCTGTCGAACGTGCGTCGAACGTCAACAACAGACACCCTGTGTCTGTAACGATACACAGAGGGCTCTCACGGGAACGTATTGTACACCAGAACTCTTGAAAGCTATCGAGAAAGGATACAAAATCTTAAACATCTACGAGATATATCATTGGAATTGACTCAAACACGAAGACGGGAGGCCTTTTTGCGTCATACATTAACATGTTTCTTAAAATAAAACAAGAGGCCAGTGGGCGACCGGCGTGGGTCGAGACCGAGGCCGATCTCGAGCGGTACATTGAAATGTACGAAGAAAGGGAAGGCATTCGTTTAGACCCGAACAAAATCGAAGTCAATGCGGGACTAAGGAGTTTAGCAAAACTGTTGCTGAACAGTTTCTGGGGAAAATTCGGTCAACACATCAATCTGACCAAGACTCAATTTATTCACGACAGCCAGGCTCATGTACTCTTCGGTCAGATGACTAACCCCACCGTCCAAATCGTCGACTTTAATATCGTGGACGACGAGAATCTTATGCTTTCCACTAAACGCACCTCGGAGGAAATGTGTACACCGGGTCTCACTAACGTCTTCTTAGCGTCCTTCACCACCTGCTGGGCACGATTAAAACTCTACGAGCTACTGGATCAATTACAATCCCGCGTGCTCTACTGGGACACCGATTCCGTGATTTACATGACGCACGAAGGGGAATGGAACCCCCCGTCGGGGACTATTTAGGCGAACTCACTAACGAACTCGAGGAGGGAGACTGGATCACGGAATTCGTGTGTAATGGCCCTAAAAAGTATGCCTATCAAACCCACAGAGGTAAACGCGTATGTAAAGTCAAAGGATTTTCTTTAAATTATGCCAATTCGCAGATCCTTAATTTAGAAAGTATGAAGGATGCCATGTTTAATAGAGACGACGCTCACCTCGGCGTTTACCACACCTACAACCCCAGCCAGATCCGTCGAGAAAAAATTCACAGTGAACTGTATTCGCAGGAAGAACTGAAGGAATATTCTGCCGTATATACCAAACGGGTCGTCCAGCCGGACCTGACCACACTGCCATACGGATATTGATAAAAACAGACAATTCTTTGATTCATTTGATATCATTTTATTGACATTGGTTTTATTTTGTACATAATGATTTGCTTTAAATGTCAAAGAAAATGTAACGCTTGTCAAATATACATCGATGCATTGTCATTCAATAAAAAGAATATTTAAAACTTGATCCACGTCGTCCTTCTTTTTTTTGGAGGGCGTGAGCCCGGAGGGGAATTCCTCTTTCTCTTTCCCGTCCCCGAATACATTAAACAGGATCCGTCTTGAGTCTCAAGGTTTCCTGTGGGGTGCGGGGGCACGGTCTCTTCTATGGTATGCGGGGGAACTTTCTCTTCTATGGTGTTAACACCCCGGTCTTGCGTCTCTTTCCGTTCATTCTGTTTCATCCGGTCGAACGTCGTCTTCTTCACGAGGAGGTATTCCTCTGCCATCATTGAAATAGGGTTTAAGAATCAAGGGTATGGCCTGGGACTGTTTCCGTAGTAATTTGCGAGTGCGGATGTTGTCCACTGCACGGTCACTGAGGGACTGAAGGAGAATCTTGTGAACCTTTAGTTTTGTCTTGTAGTAACCGGAAATTGAGGGGTGCCCCGCGTACAGGTTCAGAGCAATTTCCCTGAAGGCATTTATCTGTTCATCGGTAGCCATGTTTACGAGCTGCTTCCTCTGAACGGGGTCTGCTTTGTATAAGAATTTAAGGAAGGCTTCGTGACGACTGGTTCTCGGTGACATGACGGAGGAAAATGACGACTCTGACCGTCGTCGGTCTTATTTATTTAGGAAGGTAAACGACGGTGTCCCCTTCTGTCGGCAAGATGTTGGTGCGCAGACGTCTGTCTTCGGGGCAATGATTAGTCAAATCGACCAGAATGTAACCGTAGGGGCGACGCACGGCTTTGGCATACGCGTCCATCCAAAATTTGGAACGACCGGTGAACACCTGACTCCCGAAAGTGATGATCTGAAGATTGTCTCTCACGTTGTTAAACAGGACGACGTGTTGACAATTTAACAGAATGCTCTTGGCGTACACGCCGGGAGGGTACAGATTCTGAGACAAGAGAAAGGCCGTCATGTTGGAATGAGACACCATGGTCTGAAAGAGGTGTAAGGCGTCGGGACTTTTCGTCACCAAATGTATCATATCGTCTAGAACGATTACGGTGTGGGGTGAATCCACACACCACTCTTGAATTTCCTCACGATTGGGAAGACCTCGATAGGTGGAGAAGTGAGGAAGGGTCGACAGCATGTCGTTTACGATGGGTTGGTCTTCCAGGTAACAGTCGGTAGAGCGCTCGCTCCGTGATCGGGAGGTCGTGAGTTCGAATCTCGGCCGCGACAGACCTAAGTCGATAAAAAATAGGTAGCAACTGTTCCTTCGCCACGCGCTCGGCACTTTGGAGTGAAAGTTGCGGGTCTTTCGGATGAGACCTTAAAAACCGAGGCCCCGTGTCACGGCTGGCGTTGGCACGATAAAGATCCCTCACTGCTCAATGGCCCTGAGTGCCGAGTAAAGGTCAAAATTTGAAGCCCTTCACTTGTATATGGTGACGTCTCTATATGAGTGAAAAATTCTCGAATGGGACTTAAAACAATATACAATCAATCAATCCAGGTAACAGTAAACGATCTTGCTGGGGGTCACGTCGAATAGCTCGGAACCGTGTTTTAGCATGTTCCATACCAGATGTGTCTTTCCAGACATGGTACCACCGATGACGGCAAAAGAAGTGGGAGTTTTAAATTTCATCGTGATCGACTCTTCGGCGGTCTCTAGAAAACTAATCTCCTACCAGATCAATCCTGCTTTTTTAATCAATTAAAAATAAGAAAAAAATCAAAAAAATAGGGTCTACGTTTTTATTGGTTACACATAAATATAGATACAAAAGATGACAAATGAAAAACAATCATCATGGACATACAGAGAATGATAAATTATATATGAAAAAAAGGGGATTCCGGGCCGCCGCCGCCGCGTGCGAAAACCCGGTTTCCGGAATCCTTAGATTTCCGGAATCCCAGGTTTCCGGAATTCCAGTTTTTTCCCCCAATGCATACATATCTTAAAAAATGAACAATCATACATGTCATGGTAATGCGATATGTACAAAAATACAAAAAAAAAATGTACATCATGAACATAAATGTCAAACAATGCGTTTCCCCTTTAAAACGACGTCCTGAACGACAGTCTCCGAAGTCGCACGGATGACACTGGACATGGCGATTCCTTTGGCGCGGCAATAGAGGTAAAACAAGACGTGAAGTCCGCAGCTGGTGGCAGAGTCCGACTGTACTTGCACGTTGTTGTAAAGACAGAGAAGGGCATTGCGATCGATAAAGTCTCTCAGGCGGCTGTCGTACTCTTCCGGCAATCTTCCGAAACTGTCATAAAATTCGCATTCGTTGACGTTATCGAACCAGTAAGCAACCCAATGCGCCCCTTTCTTATCGATGGGGTCCGTGTTACACACGAAAGCAGAAGGAAACTGGCGGACTCGTGAGGGAAGTGTATCAGACGCAAACACTCCACGAAAGTGAGGTTTTAATCTCGGAAATGTTTGAACAAGACCAAGTAACTGAATCGTGTCCATTTTTTTTCTACAGTAGTCGTATCTCTCTGGCTTGATCGACGAGGAGGAGACCCGGGTATTCACAAAAAGCAAGAGCACTGACGGTCTCCGAAGTGGGTGTAGCGAATCGAGCGTATACTCCGACGTTTCCCTGATGAACCAGGTTTATATACCCCTCACCCAGGTCGTTGGGGTCGAGGTCAAAGGCGTAAATAGCGTAGCCTTTCGAAAACTGGTCACGGTCGATGATCAGGCCGTCATCCTTGTACCATTTTTTGGACGCTTGATACAGGTTACAGAGAGCGGAGACGTAATTTCGATTTGTTTCAAAGTCCATTTTCAGGGGGCGGACGGGAGTGGGTTCTCCGTTGACGGTCACGACGATTTCGGACAGACTAAGGTGTTGGAAGTTTAACGGATTGCCCTCGTAACTTCCATTGACGGCCGATTGTTTCACAAAGGCGACGTACATCTTGGAAGGTCTTCTTCCGTTCCACACGTCGTCCCAGTAAACTTCACTGGTCTTGTCCGAGATGGTCATCATCTTGACGTCGGTTTTCAGGTAGTTGTACCGGGCCGGTGATTTGGTGATGGCAGTGGCGTGGTTCAGCAAGACGGCGCTGTCTAATCGGATTTTACATGCCTTAAAGACGGCATCGAGGATGGTCACTTTGTAATTCGGAGAGGCTTCCTTACTCATCAATACAAATTCGCTTCTGGAACGAAATAGTCTCAGTTGCAGGTCGACGCCGTTCATCAGGTACTTGTCGAGGTAGAAACAGTCGACGTACAGGGGACCCTCCAGATCGAAAGTTTTAGACAGCTGCGTAAAGACGTAGCGCAATCGAAGACCCTGGTTTCGTCCCCCGGCGGCATCTGGATCGTCAAGGGCTTCCTTGTCTGGGTAGTACAGCTGGGTCTGCAACTGAGAGCTGGTGGCAGCGGGCCCATTAGACAAGAGGACTTTGAGGTAAGCTTTCCAAGGATAATTATTGGCGTTCTGCGAGATGCATTTCCCATTTATGTAGACGTCGATCTGAGAGAATAGGGACTGTAGTGGTAAGTTGACGATACCCGTTTTTTCAGAGGACGTTAGGGCCGTAACGTCAGCTTTGGTGATTTTGGCTTTCAAGTACAGACGACTCCTCCTCAAATCGAGGTATTCGTTTCCCCCTCCCGGAACGGCGAATTCGAGAGGAGCGGTTTCGCCGTCAAAGGACGAAATGGGTCGTATTTCGGAGAAATAGATTTTTTGTACCGCCACCTGGTTCGGAGGATCGCTAAAGAGAGACAGTTCGGAGGGTTCTGCCACCGACGTGTTGATCTCGCTCTAGAATGCCATGATTAAAAGATGGTTTTTTTAGGAAGACGGGATTTTTTCTGGGCGGTCGTTTTTTTCGTCGGTTTTGTCGACTTCTTTTTCTTTGTGGGTTTGGCTGGCTTACGACCTTTTTTCTTTGGTTTCTGAACACGTCCTCTCCCTTTGGAAGTCGATGTGCGACTGATCGATTTCTTCGTTTTCTTTCTTTTTATTGTTTTCTTGAGAGGCATGTGAGGCTCGTCGTTACGGATGGTTTTTTTCAAATCGGATAGGGCTCTCTCCTGCTCGGCAGCCACGGGAGTCACCTGATGGATGGTGTGATTGGGGACGGGATTGCGAGATTTCAAGGGAATCATGTAAGCTTTTCGTATGTTTAAGATACCTCCTCCTCTCTGAGCGTTTCGTCGTATTGACGGAATGAAGTTTTCACCCCCCTCCGTGTGATGAAATTGTTCCCACAGAGCGGGGTTTGAAATGTACGTGGGTCCAGACATGATTGATCAGAGACGTCGAAAGACGAGCGTCACCGTCGATTCTCCGGCTAAGAATGAAACGTCGACGTCGTTTTTGTCTCTTATATACACGTGTATGTCCCTCAAATCATTGGTGCGTAACGGCACGCGATAAGGTCGAATAAAGATGACGTTCTTGTCGTTTTCCAGAACGATACGTCTCAGGAGGGGTTTTTGACGTTCACACACGATGCTTTCGTCGCAGACAGAACAGTAGACAAAGATTTCTTGGTCGGAGGTCGGCTTAACGTTGAGGTTGCGAAATTCCGTCAGTTCTACCGTCCAGTCCCCCGTTAAGGGTAAGGGACGGGGTAGACGTACTCTGAAGTCGCACGGTTGATTATCACCGTAGACGGAGGGACTGTCCGTAGACTTGAGGACCATACGCATCGACATCTTTCCGATGAATGAAGGTATTTGAACGCGTTACGTCTCTTTTATATCGGATCGTGGAGTCCAGCTGTCAAATTTCTTGGGCCATCCCAACCATCGCACCAGAACCTCTTCTTGGCCGCGAACTTTGCGTTTCCGTAGGACCTTCTCGATCCTCCAGATGGTCTGTTCGTCTTTAGACACTTTCTGGAGCTCACTGGCATAAAACGTACCCTGAATCGGATCGTCCATCATGTCTTTTAACTTGTAGATGGGGAGGCCCTGTGAGATAAAACGCTCTCTGACGACGAAAATTTCTTCCGTGTACGTCTGATCGTAATCGCGCTGAAACGCTCGTCTCAGATGCGTAATTCGAACTTGATCACCCACTTTAAACGTATAGGCTTTGCGCTTCTTTGACGAAAAGGATTTCTTAACCCTCGGTGTTGCAGTGTCTTTTCGGCGTCGAGCTAGGTAAGCATCGAGTCTCACTTCTTCTTCATTCTCTTTGTTGACCGAAGCCGGCGTGCGTCCATTTAGCGACCTATTGGGAGTGTGGTTGATGGAACGGACTACGTCTTGTAAGATGTCGAGGTACTTGTATTTCTGAACGTGGGTAAAGTAACGATGTAATCGTTTCTTTAAGGTCTGAATGTATCTTTCGGCAAAGTTGGCTTTGGTTTCGTTGAGGGCATAAAATATTTTTATTCCTTGCTCTTTCAGATACTGTTGGAGGTAACGGTTATAAAATTCCGAACCTTTGTCGGTGCGGATGGCTTTGGGGGTGTCTCGGTCCTCTGAATACGTCTTTGAATGCATCGATAACGGTTTTAACTTTTCTATCTTTTAAAGGTCTGACCCAAAGCATGCGAGAAAAGACGTCCACGATCACCAGAAGGAATTTAATGCCGTTGTTGTACTCTGACAGATTCTGGACGTCAGCGAGATCGGCTTCCCACTGATAATCTATGCCCTGGACGATGACTCTTCTCCTCTTGAAGCCTCGTCGACGCACTTTCTTTTGAAGTGAATAGGCATCTTGGTTTTGTAGGAATTTTTTTATTTTTTTCATGCCTATGTCGTATTTACCCTCTCGTTTCACCACTTGATATAATTTGGAGGGTCCCGCAAAGGACCCGGCATGACGAGGATCGTACCAGATTTTTTTTAAGTACTCTTCCATGAGTCACTTCTTGTTGACGACTGACGTATGAATGACATGACTTCCCTTATAACAGACCTTTTTATACCTTCTCTCAGAGATAAAGAAACAAAGAAACAAAAAGTTCTTTATTTTTATTGGAACGTCATAAAGCACGTGATTTCAAATAGGACAAAAAACATGAATGTCACACACTTTTATACATGTACATATGCTTGCCTCACTACTACGTTCAATCTATGTCCATACGACTCGGAGCACGTGCTATACGTGTCCTAGATCTGTTGTTTCGGATTCTCGGCAGGCAAAAGTCCATGATAATAAATGTTCAGTGTAAGCTTTCAAAGGAGCACATTTTAACAACAAGAGACCTTCACATTTTATTTACTGACGAACATTGTAAGATCTCTTTCTCCAGTCATCGTATTTTCCATCTGTTACCATCCGGGCGTAGGTACAGTTCTTGGACCAACGAAGGTGTTCTTTGTAAGCATCGTCCAGAGGTTCCCAGTTTTTCAGGGTCATGCCACAGGAGAAACAAGTGACTCTGTCTCCGATCTTGGTGTAGATGAATCCAGAACGTGCCAGGTCTTTTTTGTTGGGTCCCTTCAGATATTTTGGCCAATCCCCAAAACTGGCATAACGCTCGGAAAAGTTGACGTATTCTGGGTACTTCCAGACAGAAACCTCCTTTTTAGGTAGAGGTGGTGGAGGGATGTTTTTCACTGGCATTTGTATCGTGACGTACTCCTCTGATTTCTTCTTGGATGAGGAGGAATCTGGATAACCCCAGGCAAAATTAGCATTGCTATCTGCCTCCCAAGAGTCAGAGGGTTCACATTCTAAAGAGGACGTGTTGCCCCAAGCAAAATTGGCAGCAGAGTCCGTTTCTATCAGGTTGGGAATTCCATCTAACGTGGAAGTCATCTTGATCAGTCGAGTAGCAGACGTGAAATGACGATTCGAAAAAAGAACTTCTCTATTTATACGTCTACAACTTATTCGTGCGTTTCTTTATTGTCTCTCTCCTATTGTAATCTTTCTAAAGAAAATCGAGGTCATGTCTATTTTTGTCATTTTCATTATCCGTGTGTTTCTTAATGACAAAGGAGTTTGACGTCATGGGTTTTTCCATTTTATTATTCGTTATTCAATAACTCTGTACTTTTCCATTTCTGTGTCTCAATGACAATGTGTATGACGTCATGGGTTTTCCGTTGTATTCTTTGGTATTCTCTGTATTTTTCCATTTCCCCGCCTCATTACCCTCATTCTTCTTTCATTGTTATCAAATAAATGTCCATTGACGTCGAGGAATTTTCCATGACGTAGCTCTCACTTCCAGTATAAAAGTCACACCATCGACATTTTCTCATTTTTAATTTTGATCACCAAACGAAAAACATGTCTACTCCTCGCTTTTCCGTGGCACTGGAAAATGGACGTTATGTCAAAGTCCAAACGTGGAAAGAAGAACTCAGAGTTGATTTGAGGGAATGGGAAATTCATCAGCCATTTCTGAAACCCACCAAAAAGGGCATCAGTTTGAAACTGCTCTCATTTAAAACACTGATCGACACCTTGGATCTGATTGAAGCAACTTTAAAAGAAAATGTCGATGGAAAATGGCACCTTGGATTTAATGTCTACGTCACAGTCAAGAAGGACAATCCCTGCATCGACGTTCGACAGTATTGGAAACCCTCCTGTGAATCCGGTCTCGTCCCTACTAAAAAGGGGCTCTGTCTTAGACCACTGGAATACTAAAACTTGAAAAAACATATAGGTGACATCAAAAAGATCTTACCAGAGCTGGAGCAGGTCATCCCTTGTCATGAACGGGACGATCATCATAATCAATTGGGAATGTTACAATGTGAAGCCTGTAATCCCGATGAATTCTACAAGTGGTGAAAAAACCCTGAGAATTGTACAAAAACTGTGAAAGACTGTTAATATATTTATGAACACTTAAAAAAAAGTATACATATCATTTCTCGGACATTTTTTTTTCAATGTCATTGATATTTTTTAAGAGAAAATGTTAGTTACCATAGACCGTGAGGGAATAAAATCTGTATTATATTTCATTTTGTTTTTGTCTTTTCTTTTTTTTTTTTTTTGGTCACGTGATAAAAAAACGTGTCTGATATAAGAACTGTTTGTAAAGGAATTTGTACAGTCGGAAACAGACTGGGGACTTCAAAATATTCATCATGAGTGTTTGTCACGTGTCTGGAAAACATCTTAACTCTTACTGATGTAGATGCCATTTGTCACCAAGTGAATTGTTTGACAGTCAAGTCCCCATGGACTTTCACGACAAATTCGGAGGAGATTGGAGTGTTTATTTTTTTTCTCCTCAAGAACTTTGCAAATACCTCTGACAAGAATGTCATCATAGTTGTTCCTTGAAACAACACACGATTCCATGTACAGATGCCCCTATCCTTTTTTAAGAATATAAAACAAAACATTCGTAACGTTTTCAAATGACATTTATTGACAAGTGTTTGAAATATAATGAACAAAATGATGACATGATTTAACCTATAAAAAAATGTTTTTTTATGACTGTCCCTACAGCTTGAATTCACATAGGTTCTTCTTTCCGCCAAACTCCGTCCGGCCACAAAAATTCCATTCTGCCATAATAGTAATCTTCCCAAAGTGATTCGTAGTAAGCTTGTTCCATATCATCGAAGGGAATACGATCAGCCATGGTTATTTTCAGAACTTCTGGAATACTTAAGATTTCCTCCTTAAGCGAATCGTCTTCGATGTCGTTTGCACGCAGACAGAATGTCGTCATCTTCCTGACATCCGTTTTAGCTTCCATAGCCAGTCTGACGAGACAGTGTTTCTCGTGTACGAGTTTGCTTCTCAAAACGTAATGTTTCTTACAGTAGTCACAGGAGGTAGAATTCATGTTATTTGCAATATAACCATCGACGAGTTTTTTGACAGCCGCTCCCCTTCTCAAGAAAGTCTCAAAACCCGTGTATTCTCCTGCAATCTTAATTTCGTATTTTATCGTTGACATTGTGTTAAGAAAATACTTGTGCTCAGATGTGTTCTCGACGAAAGTATGATCATCATTTCTTTTTCTCATCTCCTTTTATTGAGAAATGAATAAGTAGGTCATGGTCACAACAGGAAAATCAGTCCGGAGTTAAACAAAAGAATTCCAATGTATTTGTCTCTTTTTTTTTCTCTTGAATCCTCACGCCCCATTATCTCCTTTCATTTACCATTACAATGACTTATTGTTTACAGTCGTCCATGGAAATTCCCTTGTTGACATTAGATACAACCCCATTGTTCACTTTATTGACGTCACTGGGTTTCCCCCACTCTCCATTGTTCCCTTTTTTCTATACCCCATTGTTCAGTTGTACTCTACCCTTTCTAGGTCAAGGGTACACCATTGTTCAAGGGCACTCAACCATAAGTCGGACAAGGTCATCTGGGTCTCCATTGTCCCCTCCATTGTTCTCCCCATTGTTCTCTTACACAATACCCCCATTGTATACTCCCCTCAGGTGTCGGTCATACTACTGCTGCACCTCTTCGGCTGTATCAGGTCACTAACGTCCTCCTCCTTTTAAATTATTTTATGCATATTGTTATCAAAATTAAAGCTAATAATTAATGTAAATAATTTTCTGAATCTCTCTGGTGGCCCCCAGTGAGCCTCCTCTTTTTCGAACTCCAGAGAAACGATCTTTTACGTGCCAAGGGGGTTGTTATCCTTGACACGGGGCCCCATTTAATGTCCCATTCTTAGGACTTTAAATTTAAAAATATATATACAGTTAAATTTACAATCACAAAAATTTGCTATTTCAAATATATTTATCTGGATCTTACTGTAAAAATCAGTTTCTTGCGAGTATTGTAAAATTGTACTATGACTACGCCAGGCGATGGACCAGACATGAAAAAGAAGACCTTGATACTTTGTCAGAATGGATTAAGTGTATCAGATGTATGTTAAAATCGCGCATTAAAAGATTGAGAGGCAATATGAAAACCATCTATCCTTCTGTATTCAATAATCCAGAAGTGAAAAAAGAATTAGATAGATTACATGATCAGTACGTACTGGTCCCTGCTGACAAAGCAGGTAACAACATTGTCTTTGTTTGTAAGGCTCATTATATTAAATGTATTTTAGAGGAATTTGGATTTAATTCTACAAGTGGTAACCCAACTTATACTCATAGTTCTCTTTCTAAGGAAGAAATTCTTCAAAATCATATGTCAGTTTTGAATATTTTTAATATTCCAAACAACCAAAATGAATTTGAATTACCATATTTAGATTGGATTCCGAAACTTCATAAACAATCCTTACAAACAAAGATACATAGCGGGTTCCAGTAAATGTTCAACCAAGCCTCTATCTTTACTCCTCACTAAGATATTAACAGTGGTGAAGGAGAAACTTCAAGAGTACTGTGCAACAATATATTCGAGAAGTGGTGTAAATCAGATGTGGATACTTAAAAATTCCAAGGAACTTTTGAAAAATTTGAAATCACAAGATTTTACCAAAATCAACAGCTTAAAAACTTACGACTTTTCAACTTTGTACACAACCATTCCCCACGATAAATTAAAGTCCAGGCTTTTTGATATCATTGACAGCTGCTTTTTCAATAAAAATGGAACTCGTAAATATACTTACCTTGTCATTGGTCATTTGCAAAATTATTTTGTTAAAAAACATTCTGATTGTTTACACAAGTACTCTGAAGTTGACATTAAAAAGATGCTTGAGTTTCTGATTGACAATATCTATGTGGTTTTTGGAGACCAGGTCTTCCAACAATCTATTGGAATTCCCATGGGTACCAATTGCACCCCGTTATTAGCAGACCTTTTTTGTATTCATATGAAGCAGAATTTGTCCGAAATCTTGTACGTGAAAAGAAGAAAACACTTGCTGTGGCCTTCAACTCGACATTTAGATATATCGACGACGTATTGTCAATTAACAATGGCTATTTCCATTCTTATGTCGATACGATATATCCTTGTGAACTTGAGATAAAAGATACCACAGAGTCTGACACATCTGTTTCATTTTTGGATATTTTACTTGAAAAAGACGTTAATGGTAATCTAACAACCAAGCTTTATGATAAACGTGATGACTAACTTTTCAATCGTCAACTTCCCTTACTTGTGCAGCAATATACCTTCATCACCTGCATACGGGATATATATCTCTCAGTTGATTCGATACGCAAGAGCATGCTCTACGTATGTACAATTTCTAAAACGAGGTAAATTATTGACAAATAAGTTTATGAAACAAGAATATCAGCTGTCTCGTTTAAAGTCATCATTTCGTAAGTTCTATGGTCGATACAATGACCTTGTCAGCAAATACAATTTATCATTGAGTCAAATGCTGACTGACGTTTTTCACACTAATTGTTAGGCCATTATTTACACACTGAATTGTCGACGGATTTTTCCGTTATTTCCCGATCATGACAGGGAGCACACGGCGGTTGTGACCGGTCGGTAGGGGATGCTCACTCCTCCATGGCACCTGATCCCACCTCTGATGTTTGGAGGTCTGTGTTTGCTCTGCTACTATTTTGTATTGATTAATGGACCTTTGAGCTTGAATACTGTTCATTATCTCCATATATTTCATTGTATTTGTATTTGTATAAAAAGGTCATGCATTAAAAGCTCATAATTAAAAATCTATTTCGAACAGGCAGAATCATAACATTCTAAAAGAATATGGTTTATAGTCATTGCACAGTCACAAGATATGCATTCAGTTGATGTTCCCCGTTTAGTAAATATGAATGAGTAAACCTTGAATGTCCAATGCGTATTGTTGACATAATGAGTAAACCTTGAATGTCCAATGCGTATTGTTGACATAATGAGTAAACCTTGAATGTCCAATGCGTATTGTTGACATAATGACTCTTCGTCCTGGCGTTTCAGTTTTGTATTGCATAAAGCTATTAATAAAACTCTTGCACTGTTTTACTGTTTTATGTTTGATGTCACCAGTTGAGGTTGATTCAGCGATTCGGGATTGAAATGGTGGACGGTACTGGACGTACTTCGTAATTCGGCCTGGGCTAACCGTAGAAGTGCAGATGTATTACCCCCACCGTGTGTAGCGATCGATGTCTAATTCATGTATAGAGGACTTATAGATGAACACTGATGAACAGTTGAGTAAATTCTGTCTGTATTGTGTACTTTCATTGTAACTATGTTTGTTTACTATTCGAAATTATTTGTTTTTACAATTAAAATTTGTTAAAGTTTTAATTCGTTTCGACTGGTGTATTGTTGTAAGTGTGTCACAGCGAGCTAAAAATAGATTTGTGTATTCGGCACACATTACACTGGTTAACTTTGTTTTGTATTGCATAACTACGTACTATTATCACAAAACCCCCAAAATATTTGCCAAAGAGAATTAAGGTTTTAACTAAATATTTCAGACCAGTTTAAGGAATTTAAAATGTACAGTTTCATACTGTAGTGCATTTTTTGCGGCACTATCAGCCTTCGTGTTTCCGCGGATACCAGTATGACTTGGGATCTAACAAAATTCAATAATTTTACCTTCTTTAATGAAGTGATAGTACTTGATAAATATATCCAAAATATATGGGGGATCAGTGTATTGTTTATGGATTGTAAGCAGGCGAACGAGTCTGAAAAAAATATTTTTAAAAAAACTATAATTAAATATATATCAATGCAAGTGGTATTGCCTT